AAGCATGAAGAAAAAAAGTGTGGAAAACTGATTTGCCGGACTGACGGATGGACAGACAGACAGACAGACAGACAGATGGAGTGCAAACCTAAAGTCCCCTACCTTGTCGGTAGGGGACTAATAAGGCAGACAAGAACCGATGACAACCACTGAATTACAGGCACCTGACGTCGGACAGACACATAAAGAAAGATGCAGGGTAAAACATGTTTGTAAGCGCTCAACCCTCCCCCTTACCCGGGACAGTAGTGTAACAGCACAACATAAGAACAACAGCTTTACCCAAAATGATACTTGAATAAGAAGGCTTGAGAGTGCTTTCGTTGCAATTTTCCATAAATTTACATTTCAAAGGGACTTAATTTCTTTAAAAACAGTTGATCGGTACTGATTTTTAAACTTGATCCTAGACATTTCGATATATAAATTTTATAAGAAAATTGAAAAGAATAGTTCTTTTGAGAGCGCTTAGAAAGGACAGATGAACACATTAAACATGGACAGAAACCCAGTAATTCTATGGCCACACACAGAGCATTTTACATGTTTTAGCAGGGGGCAAAAATTACCCCAAAATTAGTAATTAATTAGGTAATTAATAATAAAGATAAAGATAATGATTGTTGATTGGATATTCTACTTGATCTTTGCATCAAAGTATCAAATAAACACTGTCATACAATGTAACTGTAATGTCATGAATGTGCTTGATTACTAAGATCAAAAATAAATTATAGGTGATATATACATCACAAAAACATGACAACAGCTAAAAATAGTTTTAATACATCATTTATTTATTTATCATAAGATATAATGTACATAACATGATATTTTTCACATACAACATGTGCAGTTATAATATTACTGATGGCAGTTATTGACAAAATTTAACTGTTTTATACTTCAGAAGACTTAAATTGGGGTAATTTACATTTTAAGATTAAGAATAATAAATTGCTTCACCGAGCGCAGCTGGATACGACCACAGTTGGGGCAAAAATGGACACAATATTTGCGTTTGATACAGGTCTGAATTTGGATTGTAATTAAATATTTGACACATAATAGGTTTCTGACACAGAATAACTGTAGTCAAAGAACTTAGAATTGGTTATATGATTTGAATTTATATTCAATTTTTTGTTGAGGGTTGAACCTCTGTGGTTGTATCCAGCTGCACTCAGCGAAGCAATTTATTATTCTTAATCTTAAAATGTAAATTACCCCAATTATTGCTTTTGTGCAATACACTATGCTGTTGCTAATTGACCCCACCCCCCCCCCCCCCCCCACAAAAAAAAATTTGTTATACCCCCTCCCCCTTTTTTTTGCAAAAAAATATTTGAAATTTTCTATTTATTTTCTGAAATCTGAAATGAGAAAAAAATTGCCCCCCCCCCACCCTCACTATTTCTTTTTTTACCCCCCCACACAATTTTTTTTCACCATCCCCCCTTTTTTCCAAAAAAAAAATTCTTTCCCTCAAGATATGGTCATAATCTCAATTCAAATTTCCAATGGAGTTTGTAACCATAATTACCCATTTAAATACATCATAAAAGTCTTGAAATAGAAAATGACATACATAATCATGGCCAAAATTAATATTCCTTAATCAGCATTTTTAAATAGTAACTTCTAAAAATAAATTGACAGCTAATCACCTCAAGACAATACAACATTTCTTTATACATAATTTAAAAGCAGTGTAAGGGAGGTAATCCAAACATAACAGTGACTTTTTTTTAATTGTCCATTAACCAGGAAACCCTTGTTTTTCCCCCTTTTTTTCCCCTAATTCCTAAACGGTTTGAGCCATAACCCCCCAAAGCCAATCCTAACCATCCCTTTGTGGTATGGAAACTTGTGGTATAATTTCAGAGAGATCCATACACCGTTCCTCAAGTTATTGTCTGGAAACTAGAAAAATGCTTATTTGTGCCCCTTTTTGGCCCCTAATTCCAACACTGTTAGGACTATAACCCCCAAAATCAATCCCAAACTTTCTTTTGTAGTTATAAACCTTTTGTTTAAATTTCATAGATTTCTATTTATATTTACTAAAGTTAGTGTCCGGAAATCAAATGTCTTCGGACACTGACGACAATGACATGATACCAATATACGACCGCAAAATTTTTTGCGGTCGTATAAAAATATGTTATATTTTACAAGCCAGGCAAAATTACTAAAAATTGACTCTGTACAAAACAAAACGGAGAGAACAGGTGATCACGGTGTGTTACAACCTGTTATCTACACAACATACCCCAAGTCCAGTAATTTTGTTCGTCAGATTAGTCTGTTCATTACATTACCATAACCTTAAATAAAGAGATCGACTTACTGACAAACAAACAACTGCCCAACATCGTATGATTTTGATAGTGCTGGCTAATTTCTTCCCTATTTTAATCAACTTGTTCATCTTATGTATCAGGTGACTGAATACACTAAACCATATGATGTTGGAAAACATATAATTTGAGCCTACATGTAATTTACAGTTATCGATCACTTGGTGGCAAAAGGGGAATAATTATAGTTTAGAATTTTTTCATTACCAGTGACGCACAAAATCCAGATTGTCATGCTTTCTCATCACTAGTTGGTTTATCAAAGTCTTTGAGTACGTACATACAGTTGTGACAAGGACTAATTATTATATGGAAAAAGTAATATTTTATGCATGTTAAGTCAATGAAAATGTTTTAATCATGTTAATACAAATCATCAAGTTAAGCTTTGCCTATAAAATTCATCTTTCAAGTTGGCAAGCTTTTACCAGGGACATTACAAAAACTCCTTGAAATTTTGACCCACACAGTAACTTGCTTAAACATAGCTTAAGATCAGAGTTTAAGGAAATTGTTGTGAAAACATGGGAATTTCTTATATTTGTCCTTTGGTGCGGTGCATTCCAGTGCAACAGCTTTATTCTTTAAAAACAATGTTTTTTCTATATCTATAATGAGATGAATATCAAGTGCTCCGTCAGTTCGCCAGGGATCTGACTATTTGAAGATTCTTAACTAATTCAGAGAAAATTTCAGTAGTCTCCCATTAAGAACAGGTTGTATAGAGGTCCATATTTTTTCGTAAGTTATATTTCATCTGATAATAGAAATAAAATACACCTTACCAGGCCTCGACAATAACGCTTGTCCGATTGTCCGGTACCAGAGGAAAAAAAGGTCGGACAAGTAACAGCTATATCAAGCTTGTCCGACGGAACAAGTAAAATTATTCTGCAGAAAATAAATTTAATCCAACTTTGATGAACAAAGTCATTATAAACAAATAACAAGAAAAGAAGATAAAAACAAGTATTAATTTGAAATGTTTACTTGCAAACCGATAATTTTAAACTGGTTCTTTGTCAGGTACTTTTTAATAGGTAAAAGGCATACTATTCTCGGAAACCAGTTTTACTGATCCGAATCAGCGATGCGCTTTGTAGAAAAGGTAACTTTACAAGATAGACTGGTTCTCTGTCCTTTATCTGTTTGGCTCTGAGGTAAATGTTGCAAGGGAGAGGACCAGCCTACTTTACAAGATAGTTCGTCACCAGCTCGGAAACGATTCGGCTCACAATTTTAATAGACAGTTTGGCACCCTAGGAGACATATTTAATAGACATGATTAATAGACAGTTTGACAACGCAGGAGACATTTCGGGACCAAGACAAATCAGTACCTCGTTTTCCTACCTTATTCTTTTGCTTTATAATAAATACCATACCGGTAATTTTTTAAATAAAAATGAAGAAATTATTTACCATAGAATTCACAAAATCATATTTGATCATATGTAGAAAGAAACAATACTTGCAATACGGTGACCTATAGTTGTTAATTTCTGTGTCATTTGGTCTCTTGCACAGAGTTGTCTCATTGGCAATCATACATCATCTTCTTTTTTTTATTGATTGCATTGGAATAATCTTTTTTCAACTTAAACAACCAGGATACAAATCCAATGAGTGTACATTGACAGGCCTATCAGACGGTGCCTCATGTGCAGAGTTTGATGAGACTTTGGCATTGATGAAAAACTAGAACCTAAGCCCTGTGACATGACTAGATTCAGTTGTTCTCGACTCATATTTTTGAAAAGTATTTCAAAAGATATAAATCAAATTCTGTTCTATTGTTTTAATTCATTTTGTTTCTTGAATCAACTTAAAATGCCAAAAAGGTTATTATTAAGATTTTTTTTGGACAAGTTACAATTTCATTCGGACAAGTAAGTTTTGGGTTGTACTTGTCCTACTGGACAAGTTGAAAAAAAAGTTATTGTAGAGGCCTGCTTACTGCTATTTGACTGCTATTACTGGACATCACAAAGGTTTCTGTAAAATTTTGACGTCACAATACACCTTATCGCTAATCCCGCTTGACCCGAGAATCAGTCCCGCTCGAACTTTTGACGTCATACAACAATCACTTTTCCATTGTGGCGTCAGATATTTTCTATTATGACGTCAAAATTTTACGTGAACTTGTGTGATGTCCGGTAATGGCGGACAAATAGCGATAAGGTGTATAGAAAATGTCTAATGCCACAAAGGAAAAGTGATTTTTGTATGACGTCAATAGTTCAAGTGTCGCAGCAGTCCCAATAATTTGCCGTTTTGTATGGCTTTAAGATATATATTTTTTGGACGCACGATGGAAGGCTTAACAGCAAAAACCAAAAATAGCTTTTCTAGAAGTCAAAATTATTTGGACTAGTGTCGCAGATTCCCAAATAATGATAAGGTTTTTGGAAATCAAGTAAATTCCAGCCAATTACGGAATTACAAAACTGTTTATGTCAATACATTAACTGAAATAAATAATATTAAAAATAGGTGACAAGGCTCAAATATTCCAAATTTTGTACATAAACAACATATGAAAACATCTGAAGAAAGTGGGGTTGAGGTGCATGACACTATAGTTTTACCTGGTGATTAAGCTTACAGACATTATTTTCAATTTTTGTAATTACTCACATGAAGTACTTATGATTTGTAATTCACAAAATCAGATATTGCAGTTCTTTGTTGTTCCAAATCTCAAATCGGTATACGAAAAGCTGTCATTCTGTACATCTCATTACCTTTCTCCTATTTCATTGGATTTCTTTCGGACCAAAAATCCGATATTATTTTACATTCTAATCAGTCATCAGGCCAGGAATGTTCCGAAAATATTACCCAGCAAGCATCGCGAATTTGTGATTTCCGCATAGCAACAATCAACAATATGGCAGATCAAGAAGACAGGTAGCTAGCTTGAATTCCTATTGTTTTTGACGATTTTGGGGTCATTTTTGAAATGACACATTGCGCGAACATTAATCGTTAATACATTGAAACTAGTTTAGAGTTTCAATAGTATTGGAGTTAAAACAAATTTGATTTTGATGCAAGAATAAACCCTTTTTTTCAAGGCCAGTCTACTGATTAGTGATTGTCACTGAACATTTATTTATTCAGTTATACTCAGATGTCATACACGAAAAAAAAGGCTGGGAACTGTGCCCCTGAAATTGATTCCAGTGATGACTTGCCATTGCCTTAAGTTGTTTTATACTAAATACCTTGCATTCCTGGTACTCTACAGTGCAGATTAAAGGAAAATGATTATTTGGGAGCAGAAATACAAGAGGGTCTGAATACACCTTATCGCTATTCCCGCTTGACCCGAGAATCTGTGCCGCTCGAACTTTTGACGTCATACAACAATCACTTTTCCATTGTGGCGTCAGATGTTTTCTATTATGACGTCAAAATTTTACGGGAACTTGTGTGAAGTCCAGTAATGGCGAGAAATAGCGATAAGGTGTATGGAGGGTCCTTCATTTCTGTATTCTTTAATTTGTTGGGCATTTTTCTCTATTCTTTATACCTTTTGTTCATTATTCTCTATTCTTTATTTTTTGGTCCATATTTCTCTATTCATTATATTTTTGCCCATTATTCTCTACTCTGTAAACCCTTATCCACCCCTCATACAACATAAATATTCGGCGATATTTTCAACAAATTTTAACATACTTTTTTCAAATAATAAACATCGTACAACAAGACAACAAAATAAAATAAAAATCAGGGCGAACATGAATCAGGGCAAACGGACCCAGATTCTTAATTTCAAGCAATTCTTTGTGAGAAAATCGCTGGGACATTTGCTAATTGTCCAAAGAACTATTGACGCTTCACCATGTTTACAAATAAATAGTTACGAATACACAATTAGTTAGTACACTTACATTGTGTACATCAGTATGCAATAAAAAAAGGTATTTGTTAATTGTTTATTTGCTAGAAGTACAAATATTTATTGATATCATTGCTAAATCATGTGCAAGTTAATTGTGTGCCAAATTTGGAATGGTTATTTATTCAATAGTCATCTATTGATTTTAATTAATCGACTATCACTTTTTAGTCTTTATATTAGAATATTACAGACAAATCAGCCACACTACACTCTTTCTCTACATATATCCGTTCACAATCAACAAAATACAAGACCCAACACAATCTCTCCAGTACTCAAATAATGCACATTGAAAAAAAAAACTAAATTGATTTGGAAAATGAAATTCTACAAAGTAACATGATAAATTTTTGCACACAGTACCTAACCTGTCACACCTCTAATTAAAAGTAAACTTAATTACAATAAAAATTTGTTGTTGCTTAAACATTTAACATTAGATTATTTCAATACTAACTTACACATGTACCAAAATGTAGTTCCCAGATAAGTTAATGGGTCCTGGAGCAATTTCCTGAGTTGTAGATATCTGGTCGCACAAGAAACTTTGGGGAAAATCTGATTACCTGACAGACCTGCCTTTTTTATCCCTCAATCTATTTGTTTTATTACATGTAGTGAAATAACAAAATGTAAGATCATTTCCTATCTGCTGAATCTAGACCCATATTTGGTTGAAATTCCTATTAGAAATTTGATAACAAAACATTGTGTGTAGTCTTTTTTCTGATTTTCAGGTAAAACCTATTCTGAAAGACATATTCTGTTGTACGTTTGTTTTTTCTACATTGGCTAGAGGTATAGGGGGAGGGTTGAGATCTCAAAAAACATGTTTAACCCCGCCGCATTTTTGCACCTGTCCCAAGTCAGGAGCCTCTGGCCTTTGTTAGTCTTGCATCATTTTTAATTTTATTTTCTTGTGTATAATTTGGAATATTTAGTATGACGTCCATTATCACTGAACTAGTATACATATTTGTTTAGGGGCCAGCTGAAGGACGCCTCCGGGTGCGGGAGTTTCTCGCTGCATTGAAGACCCATTGGTGGCCTTCGGCTGTTGTCTGCTCTATGGTCGGGTTGTTGTCTCTTTGACACATTACCCATTTCCATTCTCAATTTTATATAAGTTTGTAGAAATTAAATAAAATCCTACTGACTGACCCTGTCCAATTCACAATAAATTTGTAACCAGGAACATAACTTTTTTTTTTAAACATTGTGTGCAGATTTTTTAATATTCAACTCTTGCAGTGCTTAATTTTTTTTTTATCTTTTTTTTGTAGACCAGAGTCACCATCTGCTAAACCTAGTGTAGAAAATGTAGTAAGTGATGCTACAGTGGCGGCTCTTCAAGAGGTATGTTAATTGTTGAATATTTAGCCATTTAACATTTAAAGTTTGTCAGGTACAAAGAGAAGTTTGTTTTTTAAAACATTTTTAGTCATTGGAATTAATGATAACAAAACTTGTAAAATATACATTTTCAGTTTTTGTTCAAATAATAATAAGAATTCTTTATTCAAATTTAAGGCCTATGAAGAACAATGAAATTTACTACAAAGAATAACTTAATTGAAAACACAAATAAGTTTATATCATTAATATATAAAAAAAAAATATTTACCGTTATATACATGTATAATGATCTGATCATGAAGCCACAGCTAGACAAGAGCAAGACAGTTGAGATAGACAATTAGGAGATCTCAGTCTCTTTTATATTGTTAGGTTGTTATCTGATTGATTTATACCCTACATTCACAAAAATTATAGACCAATTTCAAGTTTGTTGCATTTCTGTCAAAAATTTTGGTTTTAGTGAACATCATTTGTGCCTTTAGGGGCATCGTCACTTCCTTCCCATGTTGAGCAAGTGGTCGAAAAAAATGATGCTATATTGCACGAATTATTCAGCAAATTAAATTCTTACAATTGATAATCAGCACTGCTGTCATTAGGGAATTGTAATTAAGTACCTTCAGAACAAACATTATTTCTAGTTTATCCTGCATATTGACAATCACAAAGACGCTGGATGTACTTTAATAATGCATGAATACATGCAGGCCCCTCTATCTGGTTAATGATGTCGTAAAGGCGTGCATAATTGACAAACTTTTCCAGTGAAGGACATTACTCGAAAGTGGTCTATTCTTCAATTTAAACATAAAAAGGGTAACCTTTCTAACAGGAATTACCCAAAATAATAGACTGCACAACAGCCACCGTCACCTGACCCCTCTATAAAAACCAGATACACAAAGACTTACAACACTTGGTCAAGGAAGCCTGACCTGGTACAGGCACACCAAGTAATGTGTTGAGTTTGTATTAAAAAATCTAATACAGTCTTCTTTGTTATTCTAAAAATTTATTATTCTATGAATTTATATTCCTTCTTTTTCAGTTTGATTCAGGACCGATGGAACAAGGAGAAGCTAAGCCATCTTCTAGGCCAACTTCTGCCAAGTCTGGATCTAGACCAACTTCTGCCAAGCCTGGTTCTAGACCAACTTCTGCCAAACCAGGTATACATAGGCTAAAATTGATAATGGACATATTAGTGTTTGTCTTTGTTTAAAAAATGTAGCTAATTTTTTTTGTTAGCCCATTTAAACTGATCATGATGCATTATTTTACAAGGGAGGATTGCATCCCCTGACTCATTGCAATGTAAATGATCTATGAATTACCAGAAATATATTTCTAAAACAGTATCAGATTATTCAATTTATCTTGTACATATTGTATGGGAAAGGATTTTTATAGGCTTTGTCTTTTGTCCAATCCCTTTGTTTAAATGTGTGTTTGATGTTTGAACAATGAAATACTTTGAATTGAATTGAATTATTCTACAGTTGTATGTTAAAAAGCTTAATGGGTGGTTGAAGAATTTTGTTCTGTTCATAAATGTGTCACTTTTATCACCAGGAAATCACTTTAATTGGCTTTAGCTTATTGAAATAAATGTAGTTTTAAAAACACTATCCTGAAAATGTGTTTTAATTAAAAGGTACTCACAATGTTATCTATGGGTATTTGTCTCAATGATGATTTCACTTCATCAATGTATTTTTATATTGTAAGAAAAACATATAATTTAACCAGTAATGTGTGGATTGCTATATTGTTGCCTGAAGCCATTAATGTTTATTTTAGTAGTCTTGAGGCATACTAAAGATTTTAATTCTGTGGAATTTTCAGGGTCAAAGGAGGGATCAAGACCAACATCAGCAAGGCCTGGATCTGGTCGTGCCTCAGCTACTGGAGAAAAACCAACATCAGCAAGGCCTGGATCTGGTCGTGCCTCAGCTGCTGGAGAAAGACCAAGCTCTGCTGCCAGACCTGTCTCAGCTGCTAAAGATAAACCACCATCTAGACCTGGGTCTGGAAAACCACCATCACCTGCAGGGTCTCGACCACAATCAGTTACTGGAGGGTCCAGGCCTCAGTCTGCAGCAGGGTCTAAGAAAGATTCCAGACCTACAAGTGCAACCAAAGGTATACATTTGTTAATTTCCTTTTTTATATTGTTCTCTTGAAATCAGAAGGATAATTGATAAGTAAAGCTTAAAAGATCCAGTAAATAAAAAAAAAAGTTAGTCTTTTTGGCATATTAAAAAAACTGTGAAATTAAAATCTTCCATTGTGTACTATTCTTCTTTTACATGTATCTGCTGTGTAGCCTCAAAAACACAATAATAAGTAACCTGTAAAACTATTAATTATAAAATTCATTAGATAATATTATGAAATCAAAATTGCACATTGTATATCTTGCTTTTTGTGTTCTTGTAGGACATATAATAATAAGTTCATGTATATACCGTTTAAGGTC